CACTCCCCTGAGGGGACATTGCTCCTTGATAGCATGTCCGCTCCTTGGTTCAATTTGCCCGGTATATGCGCTGCTCTCAGCGACTGCAGGGTGAGTTAAGCCCATTCCAGGAAGCGCTCTACCAGAGTGAAGAGACGCTTCGAGAAGAGGCCTCCCTGGCGATTTATGTAGGACACCACAGACATGTTGTCCGATCGGATTAGCACATGGTGTCCTTTTAGGACTGGCAGGAAGAACTGACAGGCTCGACATACTGCTAGCATTTCCAGGCAGTTGATGTGGAAGCCTTTTTCCGCCTTCGACCAGTGGCCGAAAGTCGGTATGCCCTCACACAGCGCCCCCAACCTGAGTTGGAGGTGTCTGTCGTGACAACTGTCCTTCTGCAAACCATCCCCATGGCCACGCCCTGTTCCATCCAGCGGGAGTTCTTCCAGGGGGGCAGGGCTGTTACACAGGCCTGACTCACCCTGATCTGCAGGCGTCCGTGACGCCACGCATGGGATGGAACCCGTGGTTTCAACCAGCGCTGAAGGGGGGCAATACGAAGCAGACCCAACTGTAGCACTAGCGATGCTGCCGCCATGAGGCCCAGCATCCTCTGAAACACTTTGAGAGGGCGAGTGGAACCAATCTCGAAGAAGGTCGCCAACCATCTGTATGGCCAGATCTCGTTCCGGCGCGACTACAGCTCTCATTTGGGCTGAGTCGAAAATTGTTCCCAGGAACGATATTCGCTGGCTGGGGAACAACGTGCTCTTGGCAAAATTGACCCTGAGTCCCAGGCACTCCAAGAGGCTGAGGAGGAGGGTCCTGTGTGATATTAATTCTGCCTCCGACTGGGCCAGAACGAGCCAGTCGTCGAGGTAATTGAGAATGCGGATTCCCATCTGTCTCAGAGGGGAGAGAGCCGCATTCATGCACTTCGTAAAAGTGCGGGGGGCCAGGGACAGCCCAAAGGGAAGGACTGTGTATTGATAAGCCACTCCCTCAAACGCGAATCTCAAGAATCGCCTGTGACGGGGGGCTATCTGGATGTGAAAGTATGCATCCTTCAGGTCCAGAGAAAAGAACCAGTACCCTGAGTGAATCTGCGCGAGGATCTGTTTCAGTGTAATCATCCTGAACGACCTTTTCATGAGGGCATGATTCAGGTGTCTGAGATCAAGGATGGGCCGGAGGCCACCATCTTTTTGGGGGACGAGGAAGTAACGGCTGTAGAAGCCGGACTCGCTCTGGGCTGGAGGAACCATTTCCACGGCTCCTTTTGCCAGCAGATTCATCACCTCTGAGTGCAGGACGTGAGCATCCTTGCTTTGCACTGAGGTGGGGACCACGTCGCTGAAGCGTGGGGGTCTTCGAGCGAATTGGAGGGAATATCCTCGTTTTATTATCCCCATAACCCATCTTGACACTCCAGGTATGGCCTGCCAGGCCTCAGCCCGCGTGGCGAGGGGTTGAATTAACTCGGGTGACTGGCCGCACGGGGGCAGAACACTTGTGAATAATGGAAGAGGAAGTTTGCTCTCTTTTTGAAAATGTTTGTGTTTTATTTTTCCCGCTATCACAGCGGCTGAATGCTTGGGCGCATATACGGACCCGTTGTTTGCACAAAACACATTTCCCTCTGTACCCAAAGTTGAATGGGGTGTCAAGAGGTCTAAGAGAGACTGTTTGAGGGGCGGTCCGGCCATAGCGAGATCTGACCCCGTCCTCTTCCTGTCTCGCAGAT